AACACTATGGATCAGTTGGTTCACCCTCCCTTTGATTTTTGCGCGATTTCGAGGAAAGAAAGCAGTACTCATCTATTAATATTCCTAGAAAATTCCAAGCCGATACCAGCGGAAAATTCAATGGGAATTCGGGGGATTATAATGTCTCCGGTAGCAGTAACAATAACAATAACAACAAGAATCTGGGTTTCGTGAACGATGCTGCTAATCTGGGAGCAGTATTTCAAGGACGTGTTTAGTGCTGGGGATCGAAGTATATTCAAGTTTCCCGGGGGCTTTCTGGAAATGAACTGACGTGCTACTTTAACTAGAAGAAGAATCAATGCCTTATATGATGATTCCCTACAGTAGGAACAGAAAATTCACTGGCCGTAAAGATCTCCTTGGCTCGGTAGAGAGACTTTGCAAGCGGGATGGCCACAACAGGATCGCTCTGCATGGATTAGGAGGCGCTGGGTATGGAGTCATTAGTTTTGTATCTGGAGCGTTTACTAACATTTCTCAGAAAACTCTGATTGCCCTCGCATACGTTTATCAGCGCGCAGGTGAGAGCGATTGTGATATTTTCTGGGTGCAAGGAAGTGGGGCCTTGAAATTTAGGGAGGGCTTTAGGGCTATTGCTCAACAAGTCCGAATTCCCCTATCTAGCGCAGAGATGGAAGAAGAGGGATTCCTATTGAGTATAAAGAGGTGGTTTGAAAGTCTAGACAGTGGTGATTGGATCATAGTAATTGACAATGCCGACAACGAGGAGGACTTTGTTAGCAACAACAGTCCCACCGCTAAGTTTGTGCCACAAGGCCTGAGAGGTACCCCAATATTTACTACCAGATCTCGCCAGGTTGCATTCCGGCAAGGGTGTGAAACGATCGATATTGGAAAAATGGGTAATGATGAGGCCAGGACACTCTTTTTTGAACACTTTGGAAGCTCGGATAGCTGGAGGGGCGAGGAAGAAGAGGTTGTTGCGATGATCCTAGGTTCGGCCGGTCACCTGCCGCTCGCTGTTGTAGGTTCAGCGGTTTTCATGGCCGAGACCGAAACGCCACCATCGGACTACTGGACAATTTTCCGAGAGAACGATCAGCGAAGGACGAAGCTACTTTTGCAGCAGTTTAGCGATATCCGCCGGGAGTCTGACGTGACGGAAAGTGCTTTGGGTACGTACTTTATCACTTTTGACCAAATTACGAGGCAGATGCCGACAGCCCGCCATCTCTTGCGCCTAATTGAACTCATTGACCGCCAAATTATACCCGAGCAGCTCCTGAGAGAATGTGGGGTTGAAGGGATGGATGATCCTGTTGAATTCCGTCGGGCTATTGGGAAACTATTGGGATTCTCACTAGTTACCGCCATCAAACATGAAGATAGGACATTTTATGAGCTTCACCGTTTAATCCAAGTATCGATACGAGCCTATTTATCACCGGAAGAGTTGCGCAAATGGAGTGACAACGCACAAAGAACTATTTCCCGAATACTCCCTAAATATGAGCATGAGCTGCGGGATATTTGCAAGTCATACATTCCACATGCACTTGCGGTAACCAGAGGCGAAATGGGTATTATTTCCGAAGATCTTTGTTGTCGCATACAGTACTAGTAGGCTTTAGCCTCCCTATTCTCCCAGCTGTCCGGCCTCCCACATCCATACAAGAGTAACAGAACCAGCACAGGTTGTATTGGCTAGATCTCGCAATCGATTTTTAAGATCCTCATAATGTTGGTAAAACCTAGGGAAAGACGCTAAAGAACGAAGTAACCAAGGGACACATATCCAAACAGCTAGCAAGTCCGGAAACTAAAACAAGCACCACAAATTCTGAAGAAATACACCCTCCTTCCGAATTATGATCCTCAGTCATCTTCTCGCGATCTATAACCCTCCGGATATCCCCTTATCCCCCGTGATACCTCAAATCGACTGCCTTGTTTCCAATGCTATAGGGTGTGAGAGAAGCGAAACAAATCCCCATGCCTGGTGTGATTGTTAAACACAAGATTCAGATCTCGCATGCGGGGCAATTTTTTTTACCCGCATTATGGCTGCGGCCAAGGTGTCATACTTCCAGGGTGCTTTTCTACCCGCGAGAACTTGTAAACGGGACTATACAAGCTACGGGGGGCACCCGACCTCACGTAAAATCATAACCCACCTGGATGTGTTTTCTGCGGCCATCTCGCGGATTCCCGCCAGAAACTCCAGGTTGGCACAAATCCCTAGATGGCCGGGAGACTTCCGGTTGAAACACTTCACTGCCTTTGCTACAGCCGCGTGAGGCATTGGACGAAAGTCGGTAAATTTAAGTGGTCGTGGGGTTCCGGTTGCAACTACATGCAGCTGGCTTGCCAGTTTTTGGCGTCAGGGGCGGGAGATATTTAGTCGTATTCGGGTACGCGAAGTGGATTGGAAATTCCCCCGCCGGGAATATGTGCACTGATGCAAGTCTGGAATTTTTCACAGGTGTCAAGGAATTATTATTGGTATCATACGGTGAAGGAGTGAAAGAGCCATCCTCCGTCTCCGTTACAACTCCGGTCATTGAAATTTATTTCCTAATTGGGAACGACTCAACACCAGAGAACCATCACCACTTTTTCGGTCGCGCACCCCCCCCACTGGGGGGGTGTAGGCCACCAACTCTTCCACTCTGGACTCTCTGAAGTCCTCCCTCCTCCTTCTCGGTCCCTCAGGGGAAGTTAATCCTCCTGTCGCCCTCCCCTCTTTGCCCCAGGAGCCTATCATGAGCTCCACCTCTTCTCTTGCCCCGCCCTGGCTAGGCCTCGCTTAGCTTTGGCACGGTCGGCTTGAGGGAGGGGGGTTTTGGTCAGCCATCTGATGGTCGGCTTGGTTATCGGCGGGCGGGTTGTGGGCTCCGGAATGATCCCATGCCCATGACGAAGGCCGCTCCCTGTGATCCAGGCTATGCAGTTAGGTGCCGTATCGGACTCCTCACCCATGAGCCCTCCTCCTCCACCACACCCACGGGTCTGCTGGCACCATACTGCCCGGGCACTCGGCTGCCCTCCTCACCAAACAATGGGGCAGCTCTTCTATCTGCTTCCTCCCCGCCGCCCTCGGGCGGCTTCACTCCACCTCCCTTGTCTTGCCCCCTGGCAGACGAACCCTCCAGGCTAACACCCTTACTGTTGGGCTGACATCCCCTCTGTCCGGTCGAATCGGCGGCCTCCTCCTCTGGCTCTGTCCTGTTGGACACCCACCTCTGGGCCTGGCATGCCCGCTACAATATCTGCTGGGTATGCGGCCCCTTCCGCGCGGTGCTTTCAGTAGCGCCTCCTCATTTACACGCCGGCGGGCGTGTGCACTACATTTTGTTCACCCACTGGCTGGGCCACTGGGGTTTTCTTTTCATGTACGGGTGTCGGCTTATTGGTTTTGTACCAGTTTTGGCATCGTTTCTTTACGGGTTTATTTTTAGTCACCGGAAACTTGGTGCGAGGGGCTATCTTGCTCCACTTAGAGTAGCCGGGGTACCTCAGGGTCCGGCGCGAGGAAGGATATTTGGAGACCTGGCCCATGGGGGCAAGAGGGTACCGGAACTCATTTGGCCTTGGCCGGGTGTTTATTTCTTTACTGTCAATGCGTTTGGAATTAAGGCCTTTTGTATGCCATACCGCGAGGTCCATGTACGTTTTTGAGCCATAATCAATAAACAAATGAATTAAAAAAAAAAAAAAACAAAAAAGAAGGAGTGAAAGAGCACTCGAGTACGGTACTTTTAGTGTGTTACCTCTCGCTGCGTTAGTTATCACCAATTCTGTGCTCGGTGGCTTGATCAAATTTCCGGCGAGATGATGTGTGTGATTCGCCTTGAAGAGACAGCACCCTTCAATTAAGAAAGGAAGAGGCTGGTAGGCTAGGACGTCTTTAAAGGGTGGGCTAAACTACTCTACCGGTATTGTATCGCCACCACTTGATAGGTCCAGAGGTGTATGCATTGTGCGAGTATTCTGTGAAAAGTCAGCTCATGGAGTGTTTCAAAACGCATGGCTGTGGTAGGACGGAGGAATATTTTCGCTATCCTACAGGTATACCACAAGAAATACCTGAACATGGCGTGTCGGATCCCGTCAGAATTTGGTATAGGCGCTCAGACGGGCACAGACACGCACAGACGATCTGCCATACAAATATTTAATCCCTGTGTTCAGGTATTTCTTGCTGTATACTTGTAAAGTCTTTGTCGCACTATGTCTCGCATACTGTGCCAGGCGTGCATCAAGTCACCAGCCACAACCCAACTACCGTATGCTCTGGAACGCCATGTTTACTTTTGCCCCACTTTTTCTCAGCCCGGGCGGGGAAAACTTCTGACTTCCGAAGAGCAAATTTCCTCCTTCCCCACTACCTCAACACGCTGTCGCTCTACTCGAGTAAAGGAACACCCATACAACATCCTCACACCAACTGCTCAGCGTCCACAGAAGTGATATCGCCCTAGCTAGGATTATACCCACAGCCGCCTCAAACTTAAAGAACTAAAAAAAAACCCCGTACCCAAGGTTGGGTCCGTTACTACTCGTTTTGAGGTACCACATCTCGGTTATTGAGTTGTTTCAGGGTCTCGCGGAAACAATTTCAGACCACCTCAATAGTCAACAATTAGGCTATACTTCCTATTTCAATTACGCTAGCGACATCTCACAACTTTCATATTCCACCTTCGAAATCAGCCCTAGCGTGAGCCAAAAACAGGATGGATCAGTGGGTTCACCTGCCTTTAATGCCTGCGTAATTAAAAGAAAAAAAGAAGCGCTCATCTAAGGGTGTTCACAGGAAAATCCAAGCCAATATTAGCGGGGAATTTAGCGGGAATTCAGGGGATCATAATGTCTCGGGTAGCAACAACCATAACCTAAGTATAGGCCACCAGAGCTATGCGGCCAATGTCGGAACAATATATCAAGGATGTACATTTAAATCTGAGGAAAGAGGTATGGCCGGCATTCTCGAGAGCTTTCGGCTGGGTGCTAATATGCTACTGCAACCGGAAGAGGCATCTAAGCCTTATCGGATAATTCCCTACAGCAGGAACCGTAAATTCACTGGCCGTGAACATCTCATTCACGCGGTAGAAAGGCATTGCAAGCGTGATGGCCACAACCGGATAGCTCTTCATGGATTAGGAGGTGCTGGGTATGTGTATTCAATGATTGTATATATTCGGATCGTTTACTAATATGGCTCAGAAAAACTCAGGTTGCCCTCGAATACGTTTATCGGCGCGCAAGTGAGGCCGATTGTGACATTTTCTGGGTGCAAGGAAGTGGAGCGTCAAAATTTAGGGAGGACTTCAGGGCTATTGGGAAACACGTTGGGAATCCTCTAGCTAGCGCTGAGACGGAAGAAGAGGGATTCCTATTAAGCATAAAGAGGTGGTTCGAAGGCCGAGACAACCGTGATTGGATCCTAGTAATTGACAACGCCGACAACGAGGAGGACTTTGCTGGCAACAATACTCCCATCGCTAGGTTTGTGCCACATGGCCCGAGTGGCACGGTAATATTCACCACCAGATCTCGCCAGGTTGCACTTCGGCAAGAGTGCGAAAGGATCGGTGTTGAAAAAATGGCCAAGGATGAGGCCAAGACCCTGTTTTTCGAACACTTTGGAAACTGGGGAAACTTGAGGGATGGGGAAGAGGACGTTGTTGCCATGATCCTGGGTTCGATCGATCACCTGCCGCTGGCTGTTGTAGGTTCAGCAGCTTTCATGGCCGAGACCGAAACACCACCCTCCGACTACTGGAAAATTTTTCGAGAGAACGATCAGCGAAGGACGAAGCTACTTTCACAGCAGTTTAGCGATATCCGCCGAGAGTCTGACGTGACGGAAAGTGTTTTGAGCACTTACTTCATCACCTTTGACCGAATTACGAGGCAGATGCCGGCTGCTGGCCATCTCTTGCGGCTAATTGCATTCGTTGATCGCCAAAATATACCCGAGCAGCTCCTGAGAGAATGTGGGGTTGAAGGGATGGATGATCCGGTTGAATTCCGTCGGGCTGTTGGGAAACTGTTGGGATTCTCATTAGTTACTACCACCAAACACGAAGGCGAGACATTTTATGAGCTTCACCGTTTAATCCAGCTATCGGTACAGGCCTATTCATCACCGGAAGAGCTGCAGCGATGGAGCGACAACGCACTAAGAATAGTTTCCCGAATGTTCCCTAAATATGAGCACGAGTTGCGGGATATTTGCAAGTCATATATTCCACATGCACTTGCGGTAACCAAGGGTAGAATGGATATTCTTTCCGAAGATCTTTGCTTCCGCATGGCAGAATACTTTCTTCATTTGGGATCCTACAACGATGCAGAAGCACAGATCGGTCGCTGTATCAGATTTCGCGACGAGAATAAGGATCAAGGCTGGGATAAAGGTCATAGCAGATTCACGCTCCTGGGACGGGTGAGACAACACCAAGGGAGGGCAAAGGAGGCGGAGGAGATACTTCGGAATGTGCTGGAGGATCTTGGGGGGTTATGGAACCCGAACGATTCTGACGCCTTGGAGTGTTTATCCTACCTAGCAAGTGTGATGAGGGATCTCGGAAAGTACGATGAATCAGAGACCATGCATCGGCATGCGTTCGCGGTGCGTGACAAGGTTCTCGGGGGGGACCACCCGGATACCCTAACAAGTGCCAACAACCTGGCAGTGGTGCTGCAATACCAGGGAAATTATGATGAATCAGAGACCGTGAACCGGCGTGCATTGGAGGGACGGGAGAGGATCCTTGGAGCAGGTCATCTTGACACCCTCAGGAGTGTCAGCCACCTGGCTATCGTGCTGTGGAGACAAGGAAAGTACAGTGTATCGGAGGCGATGAATCGGCGGGCCCTGGAGGACCGGGAGAAGGTACTCGGATCAGAGCACCCTGCCACCCTATCAAGCCTCAACAACCTGGGTGTTGTGCTGCAATCCCAAGGAAAGTACGGTGAATCAGAGATGATACAACGGCGTGTACTTCAGGGACGCGAGAAGCTTCTCGGACCAGACCACCCCGAGACCCTAACAAGCCTCAACAACCTGGCTGTTGTGCTGCAATGC